TATAGCACTTGATCCCCAGCGCTACTTACTCATAAGACGCATACAACAGCGCTCTCGAGAGGATTACTCCAGCAGTGGCTCTGTGCTTCTAATCCTAACACGGCTTTCCCTTTTACTTGTTATAATGGATGACTGCGCACTAATTGACATCTTTTTTTGTTTGTTTGTTGTTTGAGTTTATAGTTATATTGGAGACCCCACTGAGTATTCCCTTTGTTCACATAATAACCATTATCAGATCGTCGTTTCTCCTAAATCTTTGTTGTAACTTTACAATGTTGTTCCTGTTCAATCTCTTCATATCATCTGTCCATTGACACATACTAGGGAACAGCTGAGTCTGTTTCCTCATTTATTGAGGGTCACTCTGTTTCCTGGGTTATAGTGCCATGGCATCAGCCTAGCTCACAGCAACCTCAAACCCTGGGCCCAGGTTATCCTCCTGCCTCAGCCTCCCTAGTACTGGGACTACAGGCATGCGCCACCATGCCTGGCTAATTTTCTATATACTTTTAGTTGTCCAGCTAATTTCTTACTATTGTTTTTAGTAAGAGACAGGTCTGACTCTTGCTCAGGCTGGTCTTGAAGTCCTGATCTCAAGCGATCCTCCGCCTCAGCCTCCCAGACTGCCAGGATTACAGGTGTGAGCCACCACCGCCCGGCCCTTAGCTCTTCTTTCTATTCCTAAAACAGACCAATACCAGTACTTTCTATTCTTATTTCTTCCTAGATTATTCTTATCTCAGATCTTTATACACTGACTCTTTTGATTTAGGTTGTCAAACTAAATAACAAATGGAAGAGGTCTCTTAAAAGAAAATGATATTATTTGAGAAGAAGGCATTGCAGTGGAATATGTGTGCATAGTACACAATGTGCATATTCAGGAGGTAAAGGAATACAAAGGTTTTTAAAGGAAAAACTGAAGAGGATTAATTATGTAGTTCTTTTTTTTTTTTTGAGACAGAGTCTCGCTTGTTGTCCAGGCTAGAGTGAGTGCGTGGCGTCAGCCTAGCTACACACAACCTCAAACTCCTGGGCTCGAGTGATCCTTCTGCCTCACGCTCCCGAGTAGCTGGGACTACAGGCATGTGCCACCATGCCCGGCTAATTTTTTATATATATATCAGTTGGCCAATTAATTTCTTTCTATTTATAGTAGAGACGGGGTCTCGCTCTTGCCTCAGGCTGGTTTTGAACTCCTGACCTTGAGCAATCCGCCCGCCTGCCG